TATAAATGGGTGAAGTTCTTAAAGAATTAGCTGGTCAGAAAGATAAAATATGCACACTTTTTACAGGACTCCAGTTCTCCATTTTATCAACATTTTTAGATCAGAAGTGGCTTGCTCTTTTGTCATATCTGGCAGATATATCTGATAGGCTGAATGGACTGCATGTCCTCTCTTCAAGGTCTCAACATAATAGTGCACTAAAGTGTTATTACTTTTTAGAACATGGTTGTTTGGGGAAAAGGAAAAAAACATTTTCAGCAATGGAAGCAATTAAATTGAAATGTCATAACCACAATCATCTTGGAAGTGACTTACAAATTTCTGCATGAACAATTCAATCAAGAATGAGTCACCTAGTTCAAAACACACAGGTCCATCCCTCCTATGGAGTAAGTATTGTTAGCCATTGTTACAATCTGTCCATGTTTCAACCATAAACGCTTATGATCAGGTGATGTACAACAAATTGGCCAAAATATAAATGTATATGGTGTAAATACAAATTTGTTAAAATGTGGTAATGTATAGAAGAGTGGATAAAATAATAATGAAAATGGTTTGCTACAATCAAAGTTTAGAGAGACACATGTACAATATAACTGTAAGGTAAGGTTGCCTATATGCATAACTAATTAAGCACTATGCCATGAAGGTGTATGGAGGAGTGGATGTATAGATTCACCTATTTCCTTGACCTTGGCACTAGGTGGAGGTGTGGTCCACTGCACACCCCTGCAACTTTACCCTCAGGGGGAAGAGCCCGTGGGACCCACTGGATAGGAGGCTGGGTGGGTGCCAGAGCCACTCTGGATGACATGAAGAACAGAAAATTCTTGCTGCCACCAGGACTTGAACTCCGACCCTTTGGTCATCCAGCCTGTAGTCAGTCACTATACCAATTACGCTCTCATGTGTCCAAAATATAATATTCTTTAATTCAGTTGTATAGACAGATTGTCAGGCGTCATTATTGGTAGAAAAGTGACAGTAGCGCTGCAATGGTACCCAGCTAACTGAATAAGACATCTCAGGAGTAAAACATGACTAAGTATATTAATAGAACTTCCTAGACTAGCATTTCCCAGAGTAGGAACAGTGTTCCCCTTGCGGCCATCAGGCTTTCTACCAGGCCAATAAAATTGACAGTGGTCTATTTATCATATATGCATATAAATTGATAAGAAATGGTCATATTAAATTAACAACATAAAATATAACAGAAACATTACATGACAGCTAAAACTGAAGTTCATTACTAATTACATTTTTAAATAGCTGAATTACATTTTAAGTCATTCTTCATATAATGGTGGGGCCCTCAAACATTTTTAATCACATCAAGGAAGCCTCACACTCAAAGACTTTGTAAACTGTTCTTGACAAAGTACTGTCACGAAACAAACCCACCAATCATAAACAGGGCCTGAATGGAAGAGGGCCCCTGAGGCAGCAACCAATCAGATGGAGAAGGGTACAAAGTAAATGCTTTTATAAATAAACTAAATAAAATAGGAAGTGCTATGAGGCAGAAAAGAGATGGACTACCTTAGAAACCTCGGCTAAACCAACACACTAACAGAACACTTGACACTGGGAGCTTGTGGAAAATGGACACCATGACTAACACACTAAACATAGGGAGCTGTAAAATACTTTCTCAGAAAGAGACTTCCACACCAACATCCCATTAGCTCAGACTCATTAATCAAGCCATTACCACCTTCAGTACCTAGATTAACTGCTATTATCCCCATGACCCCATCTCTTAAAATCCAACATTAACAGCTCTATACTAATCGAGTTCTGCTATCTACAACAAAGAAATGATAAACATAACACATATTTCACTATTACTGCACAGATAGATCAGCTACTTACACATCTCCAGTAGGAATATTCTGTTTTGTGATTTATGTGCAGCCAACAAGTTGGTATCCATGTGTTCATTACTCCATCACAAGTAGGTGAGCAGCATCCATGTTGTGAGGCAGTGCTAGTGAAAATTCCCTTACTTCCTCCTCTCACCCAATATGGATTCCAGCCACCACATTTTGCCAAACCCCTTAAATGTCCTGTGATCAGACCCATGCACCAGAGCAAACCATATTGAAATACTGTCCGATGAGCCCATGTAATCCTAAAGTGTAATTCCATGAAAGGACAACAAAGTTAGGTGCCAGGAAACAACCCACTAGTCCCTCAGGACTGCATTGACTGAAGCAAGCATCACAAATGACCTATATCCCTGACAAGGAAGCCTGCTGTAACTGCAAGCTGGAATGTCTATAAGAATGGCAGGCAGACATAGACCAAAAGTGGCTTGGGATAAGTTAGCAGGTCTACTACATAAAAAAAGTAAAGTTGAGAAAAAATCTGCACAGGCTTGTTACAACATGGGCCCTTAGAAACGATATAAAGCCAAATAAGTGTGTGATGACAGAAGATAACTGTTATGATTTGGTACTTTGCACAAATATAACATACCCAGCAGGCCCAGCAGTATAACACACGCAGTCACACACGCAATCACAGGAGCAAGACACAACATAAAGCACAATACACACACGAAAGTAGGGAAAGTGCTCCGATAGAAGAGGACAGGTGTGACTAGCGTATTGAGAGGTGACGTAAGGATAAAAAATCCTGAACACTTTTAATATTTTTAATATTTAATATTTATCAATATATATGATGAACATATATTTTAGTTATTTTAGTATGAAGACGGCAAGGCATGCAGTGAAATAGTTTAACATAAATCAAAAAGCACCTGAAGGTGGCACCTTTGTGCCGAAACGTGTAGTGTGGGAGTGAAGAGTGAAGTAGATGAGTGTATGCACTGTAAGACGGCTGGAATAAATCATGGACATAACAATGTTCACCCACAGCAGCATTAGAAAGAATAAGNAGAAGATAACTGTTATGATTTGGTACTTTGCACAAATATAACATACCCAGCAGGCCCAGCAGTATAACACACGCAGTCACACACGCAATCACAGGAGCAAGACACAACATAAAGCACAATACACACACGAAAGTAGGGAAAGTGCTCCGATAGAAGAGGACAGGTGTGACTAGCGTATTGAGAGGTGACGTAAGGATAAAAAATCCTGAACACTTTTAATATTTTTAATATTTAATATTTATCAATATATATGATGAACATATATTTTAGTTATTTTAGTATGAAGACGGCAAGGCATGCAGTGAAATAGTTTAACATAAATCAAAAAGCACCTGAAGGTGGCACCTTTGTGCCGAAACGTGTAGTGTGGGAGTGAAGAGTGAAGTAGATGAGTGTATGCACTGTAAGACGGCTGGAATAAATCATGGACATAACAATGTTCACCCACAGCAGCATTAGAAAGAATAAATATTGCATTAAAACTGCATAATCAGGATATAACCTTCAGGGATTAATGTCTTTATGACATAACTAGAATTATGCAGTCAGAATTAGTTCCACAAAGTGAAAGCTTACAGCGCAGGCACCTCATTAGTCACCTGTAAAGGGTTCTGTGACGGATTACTAAAACTCCACTGCCTGGTATTCTAAATAATACAATGTTTCAGAAATTGGATCTTGTCTGTTCTCAGATGAAAGGGTGGGAGGCACCTATTCTGATGGGTACTTCAGAAAGAAATAACCATAATCACTGGCCCAGTGACTAAGGTTAGCTCTCTCTCACTCCACACTAATTGAACACTGATATTCTTCATCTGTATTTTCATAGGCATTATAGGCATTGGATGAAACATATACTAAGGATCAGAATAGAGCAGATGTGACTCACCTTTACAAAGAGCTAACCTCAGTCATGGAATCAGTGACTGAAGTTAGGTCTTTCTAATGGACCCAACACAGTAGATGCCTTCCACCCTTATACGTCGGGCAATCCAAAAGTTACCGAAATTTGAATTTTGCGCGCGAATGGTTATGAGTACATTGAAGTACCACTAGGTGTCTCCTCACACATCCTTCTTGAATCAGCATGGCAAGCGGCGTCGAGTTGAGTGGTTGGGTTTATTGTTGGTAAACGTATTTCCATTGTTGTGTTTCTGTGAGTTTGCGGTTTTGCGATGGCTGACCTGAGAGAGCAGCATGTCTGTATAAAGTTTTGTTTCAAAATTGGGAAAACTGCTGCAGAAATGCACCAAATGTTGAAGCAAGCTTTTGGTGAAAACAGTTTAGGCCAGACACAAATTTACAACTGGTATAAGCTTTTAAAAATGGCCGAACATTGACTGATGATGATGATCATTCAGGACGGCCGTCAACGGGCAAAACACAAGAAAATGTCACGGAAGTTAGGGATCTGATTCTGCAAGATCGTAGACTGACCATCCAAGACCTCTGTAACACCTTGGGACTAAGTTCTGGTACATGTCAGAGGAACTGAACATGAGGAGGATTGTGGCGAAGTTTGTGCCATGACTGCTGCAAAATGAACAAAAGCTGCATCGCTTGGAAGTCTGCAGGGAACTTCAGCAACAGCTTCAAGAGGATCCAAACTTTCTTTTGAAGGTTGTCACTGGTGATGAAAGTTGGGTTTATGGCTATGACCCTGAAAGCAAGCAGCAATCGTTGCAATGGAAGAGCCCTTCTTCACCTTGGCCAAAAAAAGCCCGACAAGTCAAGAGCAACATTAAGTCCATGTTGATCTGTTTTTTTTTATATTGACAGGATTGTTCATAATGAGTTCATCCCTCCTGGTCAGACAGTCAATAAAGAGTTCTATCATGATGTTCTAGGGCGTTTGAGGGAGGACATGAGAAAACGTCCAGAGAAGTGGCGCACGAACGACTGGGTACTCCACCATGACAATGCACGACCGCATACGACTTGCATTGTGCAGGAATTTTTGGCTAAAAACAAGATGGCAGTTGTTCCCCACCCACTGTACTTGCCAGACTTAGCTCCATGCGACTTCTTTCTCTTCCCCAAGATGAAAATCAAGTTGAAGGGGCGAAGGTTTGATACAGTTGAGGAAATTCAAGCAGAAATGCAGACGGTACTAAACACCCTAACAAAGAAAGACTTCCAGGATGCATTTGAAAAGTGGCAGAAACCCTGTGATCGGTGTATGTGCTCCTAAGGGGACTACTTTGAAGGTGAGGTGCAGAATAAGATCTAGGTAAGACGTAATAGTTTTTATTAATATATTTTGGGAACTTTTGGATTGCACCACATATATTAAGGATCAGAACAGAGCAGATGTCACTCACCTTTACAAAGAGCTAACCTCGGTCATGGAATCAGTGACTGAAGTTAGGTCTTTCTAATGGATACAACACAGTAGATGCCTTCCACCCTTACATATGAGGATGGAAACAGATTTAGTTTCCAGGAGATCTCTTCAGGCTGCACTTGTTCTGTCAGAATTTATGTGGATTCTAGATCTGGTAAGTGCTCTTTCGTTTCTCACCTACTATATGCACAGGACATTTCATGGCTAGAAAGGAGAGTTGCCTGAATAAACTTATGCATAATACCTTGAGGGGAAATGCTGTAACTTCCACATGACTGCCTGTGAAGACAATTATGTAACATGGTACTACATTAATTGTAAAACCTGTATACAATAAGATGAATGCATTGGTGAATACATCCTCAAATGCTAAACACCTGAAAGAGCAACTAAAGCAATCTATTATAATAATATGTGTAGATAAATGAGAACTGACTAGAGATAACCACAGGTGAATGTAAAAATAGGAATCACACACACATAAAGAAAAGAACATAAACATGCAAGATTACACCACAAAGTCACACATTCACACCATGAGGGTAAGGGCCCATACGAACATTTTGTGCACGCTCTACCTCAGCTTGAACATCCTCTAAGGTCCGGTAGATTGCACGGAACCCTGGACGGGCCGATGGCTTACGGTTCCAGCACAACTTCATCAGTTCATACATTGATTTTGGCGTATTTTCTGGACACTGAAGTACATTACCTTCTTTGATGTATTTCACTACTTCTTCATGTGTCATGCCATAGTAGGGCTGCAGAGCAAAGGAGAAGATCTCCCACAGACATACGCCAAAAGCCCACACATCTGATTCTACAGTGTATTTGTTATACAAGATGCTTTCAAGAGGCATCCAGCGCACAGGGATAGCATCATGCTCATCTCCTTTGTAGTAGTCCTGCAAGTAGATCTTTTGTGACAGTCCAAAGTCAGCAATTTTCACTACCATGTCATCATCAATGAGGCAGTTCCGGGTAGCCAGATCTCGGTGCACAAATTTACGGTCCGAGAGATACACCATGCCAGCAGCCACCTGCCGTGCCACATTCACCAGATCCACATGAGTTAATTGCACATCTTTGAACATTTCACCATCTCCTTCAGAACTGCGCACAATATAGTTACTGGGTGAACAAGAGCGCAGGAACTCATTGAGGTCACCGCGACCCATGTATTCAAACAGCAAGCACATGGGTCGCCCAATTGCACACACTCCCAATAGTTTCACAATGTTTGGATGGTCAAATTCTGCCAGTAAACAAGCCTCTCTCTCAAAATCCACCTGCAGATCTTCTGAAGTTTCATCCTTAAGCATCTTCACTGCCACCAGAGTGAATTCCTCCCCCTTCACAAGACCTGGTGCCTTTGCCTAATAAAACATAGTCACAATTTGAACATACATGAAACAACAATTTGAATCAAAAATGAAATATCTCATAAATTTACTAACTTACTTGAAAAACACGCCCAAAAGCTCCTTGACCAAGGTCACGGATATAGATTATATCATTTCTTGGAAACTCCAGTTTCTCTAATTTTGGATTTAATTGTGCTCCAGTTCTGTGATAAGCCATATTGTTTGGCAGTTTGTCCAAGTCAATGTTCACTTCCTATGTAAAGCAAAACAATGTTTTAATCATTGCATTCAGATTGTAAAATATGAGAAGAAAACAATGTGGCTAATATATTTAGTTCAATGTATATATAACCATCAAAAGCATATTGATATATGTTACAGTTATGAGCACAGAAAATAAAAACTCCATACAACAATTATTGCAAATATACAATTTGTCATTATGCAGCAGAGTCAAACAGTTACTTAATATGACAGGTTCTTTGCATAATAGGATGACCCTATCACTACCAAATGGATCAGGTTCTTGAAACTAAGTCATGGTAGCACAGACCCTTACACAAGTTCCCTCTAAGAATCTCTACCATATTTTCTCAAATACCCAACACTGCAAACCTGTTGAGATGATGGAAACAGTATAAATAAATAACACTGTCAGTTCAATTTACCAGTTTAATCACAGTAATAGTTATAGAGAAAATCACAAAGAACGAGACAGGGTAATGTCCCTTTTTATCACAAGAAGGTTGAGCACTTCAACTCTCAGGTAGCGTCAGACTCTCACCGCTTTCACACTACTTCGTAGCGCCCTTCCTTTTTGGAAGACGGTTGGAACAAGAAAACAAAAGAATGGAAAAGAGCGCCCTCTACTCAATATGGAGCTATAAGGTGCCAACATTCAAACTATAACAAAATTAATGCAAAAGTGATTTTGATTGTTATTAATACTATAACAAAACCCCATTATTTAAGAAATAAAAAATATGACATGGCTTATGTGAATTTAATAAAGTATTAACCAGTTAAGTGAGTATTATGCCTTAACACACAATGTGCTACTCTGTATCATAGTGGGTATGACGTCTGTACACGTCACGCATATTTTCAACTACACTACTGTAGATATAATGACATTTGGCAATGCAAATTTGTATGTTATGCTTCTTAGATCTTCTAGTTACTTCAGAGTGTTATAGGATGGTGCTGAGTGCTTGATAGCTGTCCTGGGTTTAAGTTTCTGCTGGTAAACATTATGGCAGGTCCTAGCAAGAAGATGCATGTGTGTTGAAGAGGTGTTAAGTGAACTACTGCAAGAGAAAAAATGTAGTGATATTTCTGAGAGCAAATGCAGTAGTGACATGAAATAAATGTGAAAGTTTTGTCATGGGGTGAACAGAGTCGGCTCCGATGAAGAAGATAATGTCAGTGGCAGCAATAGCATGCTGCATGGCATATGTGCAGACAGGTGCTGAGCAACTACATTTTCTATTTACTGGAAAATCTGGCCTAAATATTAATTTGGAAGACCCTGGTAACCCCCTGGAATATTCTGAGTTGTTTTGTACACCAGAAATTGTAGAACAGCCAGAGAAACAAACCGGTATGCCCATAAATTTTTAGAAAACATACCTAAACTAAAACTAAGATCTAAGGCCCATCACTGGAAGGAGATGAACAGAAATTAAATAAAAAGTCACTGGCATTCCTTCAGTTACAAGGACTTCACCCGAAACCTGATAACAAGAGCTATTCTCCCCAGAGGAAAATTCTGGAAATGCCCATATTTTTGGACCTGTTCAGTGAAAGGAGACTTCACCTTCTCAATATTCTACCTGTGGTTTCAAAAAATTATATACACTCAAACCCATACTGGATCACGCAAATGCCAAATTTACAAGTGTATACCCATGAGAGTGATGTGTCAGTAGATGCACCTTTGATGATGCGAAAGGTGTGCATTCCTTCAAACATGCTTGATTTGGTAGAAAATCATTTGAATTGTGTGAAGACAAATCTGGTTACATATGGAATTTTATTATTTACAATGGGCAAGATACTGCTCTTGATAAGTCCCTAAAAAGTGAGTCATACAACTCTAAAGTAGTCCAACAACTAATGGCTACTCTACTGAATCAGGGATACCATGTAATCATGTGCAGTTGGTTTTCAAGCCCAGATCTGTTCATAAGCAGTGCAGTAAACAGATTAATGCTATGGGAGCCTCGCATCAAAACAGGGTGTTCCTGCTGAAATAAAACATGCCAGAACTGGAAATAGGAAAACATGTTCCACTGTACAGACTAATGATAATGAAGTTGCAAGACAAAAAGGATGTCTGTCTTATAAGTACCAGTCATGATAACAAAATGGTTCCAACTAGGATTCAAGGCAAGACATGGAGAAACCCAAAGTAGTCACTGATTATAATTCTGGGATGGGAGGTGAGGAACTCAGTGATGTTTACTTGACAACTTATCACAGAACTACAAAAAGACTAAAAAAAATACTTTCAAATGAACTTCTGTGATTTGATTTATATTTGCTGATTGAATTCATAATTACTTCACAAAAAAAAGGAGGGCTGGAAGCATTTCCAAGATGGAATTTCAAGTGAAAAAGAAAATTTTATTTCAAAATATAACAGAAGAGAGACCATTAGGCAGACAACCAAAAACTGGCCCACCGACAAGGATGAATGCACCTCACTATCCCTCTGACATTGCCACCACATGTCAAAGCAAAATCGATATCAGCACTGTGTTATGTACTACAAAATGGGTCAATCTCATGAAACAAAGTACAACTGCGAAAACTGTAGGGTGGTCTATGTGCTGCACGATTTTCAATGTTACCATAGGGTGGCGAACTACTAGACAGGTGAAAGGTGATCGAGGTTCACCAAGTGGCTAAGAATTGTCTGAAGACAAGATTTTTCCAGTCAGAAAATGTACCATGCACTTGTACTGAAAACTACACTGTAATTATAAAGACCTTCATAGTATGCGCCACTGGAGTTCCAACAATATTTCTGGTGGATTACACAGTTTGTGCAAGATAACAATTTTGCAGTCAATGTTTGGAAGAATATATAGCTCTTGTTGCAGTCCATTCATCCATAGCAGCCTGAGCTTGCAGAAACATCCATTATCAATGAGCCAACCACAGCAATAATAAAACATGTGAGTGTGTGTTTAGGCTGGAGGTAGTTTTGTCAGTCTGCATCTATGATTGTGTTTCACTTCTAAATACCAGACGCCGGTTAGGACTGGATATAGTGAATGTGCGTGAGTGAGATATACCTTTGTGATAACATAATGGGAAATGAAATGCGAATTTATGTAATCATCAGTCTTGGTTATCTAATTAGTACCCCAAATTAAGCAATTATATTAATAACGCACTTCCATGTTAAGTGGAGATGGGAAATAGCCTAGACCTCATTTTTTAAGAGGTAGAAAAAAAATGAGGTCTAGGCTATTTCCATCACCCAACTTATATTACTCCGTAGTTTGTGAGTCGTTGGGCTTGGCAGTTTGGTGGTTTATTTGTTCCGTTATCTTGGTTTTTGACTCCAAGGAGTTTTACTCGTCATGGTTGGTCTGTGGTCGAGGGTTTTTCTTCGTGTTGGGCATAAAAATTTTATGTTCGGGTTTGCCCACTGAGGATCATTACTCCGTAGTTTGTGAGTCGTTGGGCTTGGCAGTTTGGTGGTTTATTTGTTCCGTTATCTTGGTTTTTGACTCCCAGAGAGTTTCCGTCAGTTTTATTCTTGCTGTTTTATTTAGTGGTGTCTTGCTTTATATGTAAGTTCTTGCCGGTTTGTAAAGGCCTCTTGATGGGGCGGCATTATGGTTTCGGGGTAGCCGTTAATTCACATTATTTGGTTTTATAAATCTTAGTTTCTTGGATTTAGCAATGATTTTTAGTACTGAGTTTGTGCCAGCAGCCGCGGTTATACATTAAGTGCTACTGAATATTTTTGGTTGTGCAGTTCTATTATGTTTTATTGTGGGCTTTAATTGGACTTATTTGAGTGGTTGGGTGAAATTTTTATTTTTGTTTGTTGCTTGGATTTTTTTTTGTAGGCTGTGAAATCTTTTCTATAAACTAGGATTAGATACCCTATTATTTTTTATGTTAGTATGTTGGAGTCAAAAACCAAGATAACGGAAAAAATAAACCACCAAACTGCCAAGCCCAACGACTCACAAACTATGGAGGGTGTTGGGTGATGGAAATAGCCTAGACCTCATTTTTTTTTCTACCTCTTAAAATTTTATGTAATCATCAGTCTTGGTTATCTAATAACTAGTACCCCAAATTAAGCAATTATATTAATAACGCACTTCCATGTTAAGTGGAGATGGGAAATAGCCTAGACCTCATTTTTTAAGAGGTAGAAAAAAAATGAGGTCTAGGCTATTTCCATCACCCAACTTATATTACTCCGTAGTTTGTGAGTCGTTGGGCTTGGCAGTTTGGTGGTTTATTTGTTCCATTATCTTGGCGACAATGGCATACTTTTTGAGAATCAAGACAAAAATATAGAATTTACTCAAATGTAATGGCTACATAAATTAAAACACACACACATATATATACTCTGACAAATGGTCTTTCAGCGACCTTTCATTTCATAATTTTATAACAACACATGGTTTAGATACTGAATTTTAAAGAAGGGAGCAACAATTATAAAAATTAAATGCCACAGTAACAAATTTAAATGTCTGGGGGCTTTCAATATCCCACCATGGGAGATAAAAGAACACGGAATACATACACTCAACTGGATAAAATATGTTTGTCAAGTATAACTGCATATGATGGGAAGTCGTAATATTTTAATTATCACCACGAGAAAATTATAATTCCAAAATATACAGGAGATAGCCCATTTCCTGAGCTTGCTGAACAGTCAAATTTTCCCGCACAAAGAGGAAAAACGGAGCCACCAGAAGGGGCAGAAGAGGTGCTTTCATTGTCGACAGACAAACCTCAAAGATGAAGACCATCTCTCGCTGAGGAACCAGGAATTGTGGCACAGGTGGAAGCTTTGATCCTATTTAATAGGTGCATAACTATCGAAGTGATTGTTCATGAGGTCCGCATTAGCCATGGATCGGTTTTCAACATCATCCATGACGAGTTACACATGACAAAGGTCGCTGCGTGTTGGGTGCCACGACTGTTAACACCAGTTCAAAAACAGCAGCGGATGGATGTGGCAAAGAAACTTTCACAGTTGTGTCAAGACAAAAAGGAGGAATTTTTCCACTGCCTGATCATGATGGATGAATGTAGGGTCTATCATTATGACCAAGAAACAAAGGAAATGAGCAAGCAGTGGAAACATGCAGACTCGCCACCACCAAAGAAGGCCAAATCCCAGCCTTCATCAGGAAATGTGATGTTGAGTGTGTTCTGGGACTGGCAGGGTGTCATCATGACTGACTATGCACAAAAGGGCGTCACCATCATTGGTGAGTACTACCGGAACCTTTTGAGAAAATTATGGGAGGAAATGAAGTGACACAGAATACTGGGAAAAGGTGTGCGACTTCTTCACAACAATGCACCAGCTCATGTTGCTCACACTACGACGACACTTGCTGCCAACTTGGGATATGAAATTCTCCCCCAGCCACCATATTCACCAGACCTGGCACCGAGTGACTTCTTCCTCTTTCCACGGCTAAAGAAGCCACTTCGTGGTAAGTGATTCCAAGACGATGATGTAATTTCTGTAGTGGAGGACTTCCTAAACAGTCAAATTTAGACCTTCTATGATCAAGGTATCCAGCAGTTAATGCATCACTGGGGAAAATGTGTGGCCTTGCAGGGAGAATATGTAGAGGACTAACTCATATACAATTTCTTGCACCTGTGTCTCTGTTTCTTCTGGGTGATAATTAAAATTTTATGACTTCCACATATACAAAAATAGTGTCTTACAAGTCAAGCATTATGTTTTTATTTACTTTCCTTACAGCCTCATAAATTTCAGATACTGATATCCTGCAACTCAAAAATGGCACACATTAACATCTCAACCACAAAAAACTGTAAATACACACCTGCAGTGTTGATGTTTATCAGAACATGTGCACAGTATCTGACAGATGAATATCCACTAGTACACTCTAGTTGTACACAGGTACATGAAGGGAAGAGGGTACTGTAAAATTTATGATGGCCACCAGAACTAGCAGTGTTCCCAACATCATCACAAATAAGCTGCATATATCAATTTTTGGTTATACTTTCTTTTAGAAAGAAGTGTACAGGTATTGGAGAAAATATGGTACAGTAAGTATGTTTAAGTTTAGTCTTTACTGATTGTGGTTTATTTTGCTTGGCATGTTAACAGCTCCAAATAACCAGTGCAGTTCAGAAGACTTCAGACCATTAATACCTCAGATTTAAAAATGATAAAACTCAATTTAGGTTTGTTTTATAACTTTGCAAAGTAACTCATTTTATTCTACTGATGAATTTGTCGAGCATGCGAAGGGGCTCAAAAGTTAAAGAGTTAATAAATGGTCTGTGTGCTTGTATTATACATGGTTGAGACTTGCTTGCTGTAGGTGTGGCAGTATGTATGTCTGTGTTTGTTATGAATTTTAATATGTTATAATGAAACTGTACTGATGATATGGCTGGCCAGGGTGTGTGGAATGGCAAGGTGTGAATTTGACAGTGGTTTTTCCGCTGCCTATGTGTGTAGTCTTGACAACTTGTGCTTTCTGTGTGAGGCTTGATTATATATTTTAGTGGACCAAGGACGTATGATGTGTAGTCATCATGAATGTATAATGTGTGACACATTTTATATCCAGCCCTACATAGAGATGATTGAATCCATGAAGTGAAAATAAATGTAAATAACAAATAAATGATTATACCTTCTGTTATGGGACCATCAACAGTAAAGTTAATAAGGTAAAGCTGTCCCTGTGCTTAATTGATTAAGCACTACACCATGAAGATATATGGGAGAGTGGATGTATAGGCCCACATTTCCTTGACCTTGGCACTAGTTGGAGGTGAGTGGTCAGCTTCACGCCCTGTCCGCTTTACCTCCAGGAAAGAGCACCTGGTATCCATTATATAGGAGGTTGGGTTGACCCCAGAGCCGGTCTGGACGATATGAAGAAGTGAAAATTCTTTACCCTGTCGGGACTTCAACTCTGACCTCTTGGTCATCAAGCCCATAGGCAGTCACTATTAAATATTTTTTTTAAATTCACTTAGTGGGGGGCAGAGTCCAACTGGGTTCACTCGGCATTACGGCCACTGATTGGCCTATTGTAGCCTACCCCGGGTGATTATGATGATGGAGAATTTGGTGGAATGAAGATCGGCAGGGGAAACCGAAGTACTCGGAGAAAACCCACCCCAGCACCACTTTGTCCACCACAAATCCCACTTGACCAGGCCCAGGATCAAACCCGGACCACAGGGGTGGGAAGCCAGTGACTAACCGCTTGAGCTATGGCACGGCCTAGCCAGTCACTATACCGACTATGCTATACATAAACAGTAAGACTCCAAAAGGTTATATCAATCATCTACAATAGTTTATACAGTAATGACAAACCTCTCTTGTTGCAGTAGGGTTATATCCCCTTCGATGTTTATACAGGCGATGGCAAAGAAGGAAGAGCAGAAGTATCATTACAAGACCAGTAAGACCCACTGCTGACAAGATCAGAATGAACTTTGGAGTGAAAAATGTCTCCATTGCTAGGTCTTTCACTCCAATGTTCTCATCATCTGAGTCTGTCACATTTTCTGGAAATAAAACATTTTTCTATAGTAAGGTACCTGCTTCCCAAATCCTACACAACTTTACTGGCACTGAGCAGGTTGGCCCAGCAGTAATGTTCCAGGGTTGTAGTTAGGGGATCCTCAGTTTACGTCACAGCCAAGACCTCAACTATCCTGACAGGTTTTTGTGGGTTTCCTTAGTCCCGCCAGACAAATTCTGGAATAACACCTTCGTTAAGGAATGACCACTTTCTTTCAAATACTTTCGAATTCATTATTCACTAACCATCCTGCCATTTAATGCTATATAGTCTGAGATACTGAAAGCATCATAAAATAACCCACCTCCAAAGAATGGTTATTGGACTCTGCAGGAATGTTCTAGAGATGGGAGCAACCATGAGGTGGAATACACCACTTCCACTAAATGGATCATGGCCAAGAGAAGGAGCTTAGTTGGGAATATTTATTTTACTCCCTTAAGGAGTTTACTGTCAAAAAGTGACAAACGTTCACCCTGAAACCAAACATACCCAATTTCACATATTTAAAGTCTGGAAGATATTCTGTAATACAAACACTGATCATGTATCTGTAAATTAATACAGTACAAAAATCACTTGACTGAAGATAAAGCACATACAACAGGAAAACTTCAATAACTGCATAACCCAAACACAACAAAATACTACAAGTGCACATCTCTTATCACCATTTTTACAATCGTTTAGGTTACAACAGAAAATGAAAATTTTTTACCACAGTCTACAATCTACTCTTCCCAGTTTTTCACATTTTTAATAAAAACAATTTTCTTCTTCCTGCTACTCTAATTCTCTTTGCTCCATGTAATATAAGACACTGCTGAGACACTGGGCTGCATTTTCAAAGGAAGAATATATACAGCAGAAAAATCAGTTATTTGAGCACAAAAAATATGTGGTACTGGCAACAATAAAACAAAACAACTGCTCAACAAGAACAAAAGAAACTAAAAAAATGCACTTTACCATTCAATTCAGATTATTTGATCTTCTGGCCTTCCTCACAAAATTTACTATGGCCATGGCACACGATCTTCCTTGGAAAAATAGTTTCTCATGTGGTCAAACAATCTCCCACTTTCTGAAACCCAATGGCTCATTAGTATGTTCATAAACACCTGCCACTGAACCCTATTCTCAAACTTTTTAATCCTGGTAACGCATTTATTTACTATTTTTTTTTAATTCCTTTTAATATTATCCTCCTCCTGTCCATACTCTGGTCTCCCAAGTAATCTCTTATTTTATGTAGTAGTTCCAGGGTATCCATTCATTCACTCATGGAGCCGAGCCCTTCTCGAGAAGCCGCCAATTGTGCAGCTACTCAAGAACTTCCAATTTACGGAACCTGCAGGTTCATTACCATGCCCACAAGAGCACTCCACTGGTCCCTATCCTGAGCCAGATCAATCCAATCCACGCCATTCCATCCTACCTCTCTAAGATCCATTCTAATATTGTCCACCCATCTACACCCTGGTCTTCCCTGTGGTCTCTTTCCTTCTGGCTTTCCCACCAATATCCTATATGCATTCCTCCTCTCCACCATTCATGTGACATGCCCAGCCCATCTAATCCTCCTTGACTTGATCATTCTAATTATACTTGGAGAAGAGTAAAAGTTATGAAGCTCCTCATTATGCAGTTTTCTCCAACCTCCTGTCACTTCATCTCTCTTCAGTCCAAATATTCTCCTCAGCACCCTGTTCTCAAACACCCTCAGTAGATGTTCCTCCCTTAATACAGGAGACCAAGTTTCACACCCATACAGAACCACAGGCAAAATTATAGTTTTGTATTTTATGTTTTAGGACAGCAGACGAGAAGGCAAATCATTCTGGACTGAATGGTAGCAAGGATCACCCAAGTTCAATCTCCTCTTAATTTCCTCCTCAATCAGGTTTTGATTTGTTATAGTTGTCCCCAAATAGCTGAACAGTCTATGCATTATACATTAAAAAAGTACAGGGACGCCTGTAGCAGGCCATGGAGGCCCATAGGGTTGTGAGATGTCAAGGTTCCCACATTTTCTACACAATCGGCTCATAGATGGCGGCAAGGTTGTCAACCCTATGCGCCGGCCACCCTTTACCCCCAAGAATATTCCAAGAATATTCCTGGTACTCATTTCTGTTAGAGACTGAGTTGACCCCATGGCCATAGTCTGGCTGGAAGGATTAGGTCAATTGAAAAAATCCAATGACCTCATCGGGACTTGAACCTGCAACCTTCCAGCTTGTAGCATAGTGCCTCAACCAACTACGCTACTGCATGCCCCCACGCTTTATACATTTAACCTTTAAGAGATGGCCATTTAAATTCCGGTAGTGGTAGCGGGACAGAGTTAATTTAAATGCCCGCCACTGTAGAGTAATAAAAATTGTAATCATGTTACTCAAAATGCTGTGATTTCTATAATGTTTGTGATAAACGAACGAAATAAACGCTGCTTTTATCTAGAAAGAATATAGAATCAGTTATTGTAATTTACCGATTTTAAAATCTCTAAAAAATTTTACACTGATGCCAAAAAAAAAATTTCCCCTCAATTTCAAAAGTCTGTGCACAAAAATGCATACAGTTCCTGCACAAAACATTTCTGCAGTCTGAATGCCTGCTGGTGACATCATGCTCTAACTATGGCTTGTGTTGCTACAAGGTCCGATGTTTACGCTTCGTTTATCATTCTCCAGTTCATAGGTTCCTTTCGGTATGAATGAGTGTGGGCGATGTCTACTTGTTTGCAGAAACACTGACTGTTTTATCTCATATAGCCAAACAAGAAGTAGTCTGTTTTGAAATATAGCCGAGCAGTGTCAGAACGTTCAAGGCTAGCGTTGTGTTTAGCTGTCCACCATGGCCTCATATCTGGAAGACGTTGAAATTGAGAATCAGCTTATAAATGACACCGATTCAGACTGTTGTACTGATGACTCAGAGTTGCGAGGAAGAAAGTGAATCTGAAATTGAAGTCGATGAAGAACCATCATCTTCGTCGGTAACCTGGGGACCACCACACCAGTGTGGCAAGAGGAGTGTGAATAATTATTCAGGTGGAGCTGTGGGCAAACTGTGGCAAACAGTTATAGCATCTGTCGTCGAAGCTGGAAATGGACAAATAAACTATTTTTCCATCTCCTGGATCTGAACAGTTACAGCCTGTTGTCACACAGAGAATTTCGTCTCGCTCTTGTGCGGAACATGCTGGAAGGGGTCCACTTCGCCCTCAACGGCCCAGGGGTCGAACCCCTGCCGTTTCATTGGAGATACCTCGATTAGAGGAGCTCAAACCACATCACTGGCGGTTGATTTCAACGAAGAACCATCATCTTGGTCAGCAACCTGGGGACCACCACACCAGCATGGCAAGAGAAGTGTGAATAATTATTCAGGTGGAGTTGTGGGCAAACTGTGGCAAACAGTTATAGCATCTGTCGTCGAACCTGGAAATGGACAAATAAACTATTTTTCCGTCTCCTGGATCTGAAGAGTTACATCCTGTTGTCACAAAGAGAATTTTGTCTCGCTCTTGTGCAGAACATGCTGGAAGGGGTCCACATCGCCATCAACGGCCCAGGGGTCGAACCCCTGCCGTTTTATCGGAAATATCTCGATTAGAGGAGGCCAAACCACATCACTGGCTGACTTCCTCTACTTCGCAATTGAGGTGTCGTGTGTGCTTTTCGCGTGGGAAACAAAGAACCGTCTAGACAACGTGCGTGAAGTGCGACATCGGACACTGGATTTCCGGATGTTTCCAAGATTTCCACACGAAGCCAACAGTCCGTTAGACGACGCAGGTGGGAAGAGAGACAACTTATAAAGCTGGTGACCAAAAATCATGTAAGTAGAAAAAGAATTTATAACTTAAAATTAGATTTTAAAAAGCCGGCCACACGCGTGGACTGCGTGACGACATATGGCGTCATTCGTCCCCTTGACTTTATTTTCATGATGCCATATGGCGTCGCTCGGCTCTTAAAGGTTAATAGATTAAATTGATCAATGTGTGTAAGGAATCTACCCATCACTCTCACAATCACCACATATTTCTGAAGACAAGTCTAATAACCTAACCAAGATTGGTGCTTCCTGACGCAAGAATGGACTGAAGTGAATGCCCTCAATTTTGTTGATTTGGGGATGTACATAGCTGATTCCAAAAGTAAGGTCTCCAAAGCACTGGGTAATTTTTCGTGCGGCTGTTGGCAACCCTGTTGCATTCGTTGCTTCCCCCACTCCCCCCAATACCACCAAGCATGCGCACACGTAGCTAGGACGCTCAGTCTTGGCACGGTTGCCGTTAGAAATGGAGCTCCCGATTACTAAAACCGCGAAGTGTGAGATTCGGGCAGTTATTCGGCTTTTGAACGCAAAAGGGACTAAACCAATTGAAATTCATCGTCAATTGGTGGAAGTGTATGGCGAGTCGTGCATGGACATAAAGAACGTCCGCAAGTGGTGTAGGGAGTTTGAATCTGGTCGTACTGCAATACACGACGAAAAAAGAACTGGGAGACCGTCAATTTCTGACGAGACAGTCGCGAAGATTGAGCGAGTCATGCGTCAGGATAGGCGCATCACACTCGATGATCTCTGCATTTCGGTTCCCGAGGTTTCCCGAACCACCATTTATCGGGTTTTGACAGAGAAGTTGAATTATCGGAAGGTGTGCGCAAGATGGGTCCCGCAAATGCTCACGGAAGACCACAAACGGCAGAGAGTTGACTCTTTCCATGAATTTCTTCGCCGCTATGCTGACGAAAAGGACAACTTCTTGAATTCAATTGTCACAGGCGACGAAACCTGGGCGTACCACTTCACACCTGAGACAAAACAACAATCACGTCAGTGGCGGCATTCCTCTTCGCCTAAGCCTCGAAAATTCAAGCAAACACAGTCTGCCGGTAAAGTCATGGCAACTGTGTTTTGGGATCGAAACGGGGTATTGTTGGTTGACTTTATGGAAACTGGGACCACAATAAACGCTGAGAGATATTGTGAGACACTGAGAAAACTCAGGCGGGCGATTCAGAACCGGAGAAGAGGGATGTTGAGCAAGGGCGTAAGCATTCTCCACGATAACGCTCGCCCCCATGCTGCCCGACAAACCGTCGCTCAACTGCAACAGTTTGGATGGAACATCATCACCCATCCACCCTATAGTCCGGACTTGGCGCCCAGTGACTACCATCTCTTTCCAAAGTTGAAAGAACATTTGTCTGGAAAGCGCTTCAACAACGACGATGAGGTGAAAGCTGAGGTTCGAAGTTTCCTGAACAGCATGGAGGTGAACTGGTATGACATGGGCATACAAAAACTGCCACTGCGCCTACAAAAATGCATCGACCGAAATGGCGATTATGTAGAGAAATGAGTACATGTTCAAGATTCAACTGATGTATCCAAAATTGAAAATAAATGTTTATTTTATATTTTCAAACATAGGAGACCTTACTTTTGGAATTACCCGTAATTACTCGTAATACAATGCAAGATTCTGAACACAGATATACTTCATACATCTAATGCTAATACTACAACAGCACTTACCACAAACGGGGATGTCACAACGTTGCCATCTTACTGTGGGATCCATGGTGTAACACCAAGGAGAAGGTTCCTCTCCCCCTGCATTACGACAGTAGTTTTCTGCATTCTGCACCTCAGGGAAAACATCTGGAGGGCGGTAGTGTGAGTGTGGTACCTGAGAGTCCCAGTGCTGACACGGTAACCCTTGCTTAGTTCTGTTCATTGTTCCTTGGTAGAAACGACCTCTCCCTTTCACACAGTCATCTGTACAGAAATGTTCAAAACTTGATTTCCTTAATATTTGGCTCTCATGTCTTTCATCTTCATATCCATGTACAAATATGGTTGCACTCAATCTATGTCACTCTAGTCAAGAGACTAGGTTACATGCTCATACAAAACACTGGAAAAATTATAGTTTTGTGTATTTTAACCTTTATGTTTATAATTTTCATTTCATGCATCCTGTTGTGTTATAATATATATCTTCTTTATTAAAACCGTCATAACACAACTATATTAAGGTCAGTGCCAAGTTTGGCTCCGCTAAATGTTTCGGCAACCAAAAGTCACCATCAGGCAAATACATGGCCAACATATATACACCACTGAACTGCAGTACTAAAAAAATTGGATACAATAATATTAATTATATTAAAATACTTGGCATAAAAGTACAATAAATTAGACTATATAAACTGAAAGTTATATATAAAACAAGATGCTTTACATCATCGAGTCAGTCATTGGTTTTTGTGATTTTGTTGTGTTCCCACGGACAAATTAGAGTATTCTATATTTTTTGTGTATATATAATAAACTGTTTTGGAGGCACGTGATGTAGATGTAGTAATATTAATGTTAATTATTTAGTCAGCATCTCATCTTACAAAGTATTGTCTGCTCTGTAGGGAATGTTTACAATACTTTGTAAGATGAGATGCTGACTAAATAATTAACATTAATATTACTACATCTACATCACGTGCCTCCAAAACAGTTTATTATATATACACAAAAAATATAGAATACTCCAATTTGTCTGTGGGAACACAACAAAATCACAAAAACGAACAACTGACTCGATGATGTAAAGCATCACTTGAAGAATTTTGATCGTGTTTTATACTATAACACATATTTTATATAGTGTAATTTATTGTACTTTTATGCCAAATATTTTAATATAATTAATATTATTGTATCCAATTTTACTAGTACTGCAGTTCAGTGGTGTATATATGTTGGCCATATATGAGGGTTGGAACTTTAATAGTGACAAGCATTTATTTACAACTGCTACAAAATAGATGCATGTTTCGAAGTTTTAATGTCCTTCAATGTAGTCACCAGCATTGTGTACAACCCGTTGCCAGCGATGTGGAAGTTGAAGTTGTAGGATACCTTTAGCAGCGCCTGTTGTGTTGATGGTTCAAATGGAGCGGTCTACTGCCTGAAGTATCCCTGGGACAGTTCTGAAGCGAATGCCACGAAGTGGTTCCTTCACCTTAGGAATCAAGTCGAAGTCAAAAGGGCTTAAGTCCAGGGAGTATGGTGGATGGTACATCACTTCCCAGCCCCATTGATCAAACAAATCAGACACAGCTTGCTCTGCATGCGGCCGAGCATTGTCCTGCAAAATGATGGGTGGGTTGTGCAGAAAGTGTCACTGCTTCTTTCTCAAAGCTGGTCGCAGGTTGTTCCAAAAATGAACAGTAATACTGCGCATTGAAGGTCTGCTGTTGGAATGGTATGCGTTAGGATAACACTATCACAGTCATACAAGAGAATCACTGTAACTTTCACATTGCTGGGGTTCTGACGAACTTTTGATTTTTGTGGTGATCTGTAATGATGCCATTCATTCGATTGGCATTTCATTTGTGGCACGTACGATTTGGCCCATGTCCCATCCAGCATAATGATACAGCATAAGAGAGCCTCTCCTTCGCGCTCACAGCGCTTCAAATGGTTATGAACAGTGTCGTATCATAGCCATTTCTGCATTTCCATCAAATTTATGCAGAACCCATCATGATGCAATTTTTCTCATGCCCAGGTGTTCCTTCAGAATGTGTAGCACAGTCGTATGCGCTAATCCTGTCTCTTGGGCCAGCTCATGAATCGTATGGCATCGATCACTCTCCAGTTACGCGAAAAGAGCATACACCTCTTCTTCACTGACACTAGGACGACCTGGCTGACACATGTCTGCCACCTTTTGGCGTCTCTCATTGAAGGCTTTTACCCACCTTGCCACTGTTCTGTAAGGTACTGCAGATTCCCCACAAGCCTCTTGAAGACCTTGATGACACTGTCATGCGGTACGGCCTCTGGCACATTCAATCTTTATTCAACTCCGTTGTTCCTGTTCCGAAAACATCGTGACAACACTACATTAGACCGCCAGCTAACACGAGGCTCTGTTCTCGTTTCACATTGCTGGGGTTCTGACAAAATTTTGATTTTCGTGGTGACCCATAATGACACCATTCGTTTGATTGTTGTTTCATTTGTGGCTTCTATGATTTGGCCCATGTCTCATCCATCGTAATGATATGGCATAAGAAAGCCTCTCCTTCGCTCTCATAGCGCTCCAAGTGGTTACGAGCAGCGTTGTATCATAGCCATTTCTGAATTTCCATCAAATCATGCAGAACCCAGCATATGTGCTACTCCTGTCTCTCAGGCCAGCTCAGGAATCGTATGGCATTGATCACTCTCCAGTAAGGCGGAAAGAGCATACATTTCTTCTTCACTGACACTAGGATGACCTGTCCGACGCATGTCTGCCACATTTTGGCGTCCCTCGTTGAAGGCTTTCACCCACCTTGCCATTGTTCTGTAAGGCAATGCAGATTCCCCGCAAGCCTCTTGAAGGCCCTGATGACACTGTCGTGCTGTATGGCCTCTGGCACATTCAATCTTTATCCAACTGTGTTGTTCCTGTTTCAAAAACATCATGACAACACTACATTAGACTGCCAGCTAACATGAGGCTGTTTTTCTCGTCACTGCGCATGTGCGTGATGTGGGAAGGGAGGGGCAATTTCCTCTGAGGTAAGGAATATATGTAACTAATGTGTGGTATAAGCAACATTATTTGGTTCCATTGCCTGGTGTCTCTACAGCAGTGTTGCCACTATTAACCTTTAACATCCGAATGTCACGTATACAGGTCGCAAGCAGTAACCGGAGTTGGCCGAATGACCTGTATACATGTCGCACGACACATGCTCTCTTTGGGAGTGCTGGCAGTTTGACCTTGGGTTGGAAACCAAAACAAACCTATGCGAGGTCATGTCAGTGGTTCATTCCTTAGTTCTGAACAAAGAAATTGTTTATCTTGGTCCTGGTTTCGATACTATTTACGTTTAGATGTGACTGTTTATGACCTGGTTAGCCAAATATAGCCCAGCTTTGTTTTGAGAACTGATGAGGAAATATTTATCGGTGCTTGCATATGAGCACTTGCAGAGCCTTCAAGGAAGTCCGACACATTCAAGGATTGGTTTTCAGTGGCGAATTAACAGTCAGGAAGTCAGTGTCGGATTGTCTAATATTTCTTTATCAGTTAGAAAGTCAGTGTCAGACTGTCATATATTTCGTTATATATCATTTTTATTTTGCGTCTTGGAAAAGGTATAAATCCACTGAGCCAGTATTACTTTGTGAGTAAAAGTCATCTTCGCCACTGCTACTTTCAGTATGTGTCGGACTGGCACTCTTTTCGACTAGTATTATAATTACTTTGCATCACTATTTTGTGAATATTACCAACAGGTGAGAGTGTCGCTTTGTCAATCAAAATAATTTATTCGATTTTGCTAGAAACCCCCCGCCCCCAAGATGATTTCTTCAATTGCACAAGCCGAAAATCACGGTCAGTGGCGTTTCTCGGGGGAAGGCCAAATTTATCAGGGGGCCCAACTGAGTTGACTGGAGTTGCAAAAGTCACAACACTGGCCAACCAAAGGGAAACAAAGACGCTGTCGTGTGTTTCGCTAAATAAGAAAAGCAGGAACACCCTCTTCTATTGTAAAAAGTGTGATTTTTCTCTGTGTGAAGTGGACTGTTTCAAGAAGTGCCACGTGTGTCAGTGTGACTATCAGAGTGAAGTGATTGAATTGAAACTGTGAAGTGACGCAGTTCAAACTCGCCTACAGTAATATTATTGTATACAGAGTGATTATATTTACAATATCACTAAGTCTCAAAGTTGAATATCACGGTCAGTGGCGTTTCTCGGGGGAGGCCAAGGTTACCTGGGGCCCAACTGAGTTGACTGGAGGTGAAACATTCACAACACTGGCCAACCAAAGGGAAACTAAGACGTATTTGTTCTCATAATAAGAATCGCAGAAGCACACTCTACTACGGTAAAAAGTGTGATGCTGCGCTATGTTTGTCCGGGCTGCTTCGAGACGTGAGTTGCGCTAGCGCGTTGGGCTCCTTCGAGATGTTGCACATGCACGTCAGGGTGAGTTATCGTAAACTGTGAAGTGACGCAGTTCAAACTCGCGTACAGTCTGAACAAAATATTATATATAGTGTGACTATATTTACAATATCACCATGATTCAAGGCTGAAGAAAAAACAAAGGGTAAGTCCTTTGGAATTTCATAACATATATAATAAAGATTATATTTTGCAATTCATGACAAAATAATCACAGTTAATTTTCATTTGTAAAAACTGCTCTTCTGTGTACATGTAGAAAAATTTATTGTCTTTCAGGTTGTTTTTAGTTTTTATTTCTATGTTGCTTAGAATGGAAAATATGGATTTTTTTTATGGTTTGCAAATTTAATTAATCAGGGTGATTAAAATACTGGTCGCAGGGGGCTGCCGGCAATTTAAAAATCCGTATGTTAAAGGTTAATTTAGTTATGCCCTCCTTCTCTTTCTGAAACGTCTCGTAGCTTCATGTCTTATAGTCCTCAGACTATCTCCATTCATTTGGCTTGAATCGTGTAACCGCTGCAGTTTAGGTTGTTTCCTTCAATCTGATAATTCTGAACATCCTTAGACAAACCATGGCTTATGCTGCTTCAATTAGTGATAATCTTGACTCTCGTAAACTGAAATTCTGAAATTGTCTTTCACAGCTTCTGGAGCCCTCCTGATGACCATATCACCACCAAATTATTTAAAACCACAAAACCTGTTTCAAATTTTAACCTGATACTGTTCCTACCATCCATATCATTTAGCTTCTTGAGACCGCACTTCTCAGTAGCACTTTTGTGTTGCTTGTTTACTTACCAACAGTCTCTCCCAAACTTCTGTGACCATTAGACAGTGATCCATATCATAACCACCACATGTGAGATATTGCACATCAAGCATATTTCATTACTGTCTTCCATTTATCAAGATGTGATCAATCTGATTCTGTCTTTCCAACACGAGATTGTGGGAACTGGTCACATTCAAGCAAACGTTACAGTGACAATGCAAGTAGCATTGCTTGAATGTGGGCTAAGCAGCGAAGGGTTCCTAGCTTGCAATTGATCCACTGTGGGTGGTTCCCATAGTCACATATTGTTGCAGACTTTACCTAGCAATGACTGTTTACTCACCACCGCTAAGCAATGATACTTGAGTTTGTCACTGTAACATTTGCTTGAATGTGGGCAGTTCCCACATGAGGACCAAGTTAATTTATGAATAATGTGAGATGGTAAGAATGAATTCTTTGACATTTAGATTTTTGACCATGGAATAGTTTACTACTTTAAGTCCATTATCACAATTAATTTCATGTAAAGCCTCATTCCAAACTGTCAGCTTGAAAAATCTACACTGGCACTGGAATATTCTTACAAAATTTTCATATGGTACTTTGGGAAATGATCAAATATACACTCTAGTTCCTCACAGAGGCTATGACATTGTAAAGTTAAAGTACTTTGTCACCAACAACTAACCCAAGAATCTAAGTGTATATCTGCAAAGCACAGGTAGTAAGCACAGTTTATTCATATTCAAGAATTCCCTGCATTAACACTACACAGAATCAGAAATTAAATATACTTTATTGATGCCTTACACGTGACCTCCTCCATCTTCATCTCTGTCAATTTGGCATGAGAACAGGCAGGGGGGCTGGTACCTCGGAAGCTTGGGAGAGACTCACAGTCTGGAAGCTGAAAGTGACCACGTGACTTGAAGAAAATGCCACGTTGCTTGTTATCTTCAATAAGGGCCCAATCATTGTAGCAGAATAGCTGTCGCACAGCCACGCAGTCTTCTGCACACAGAGGCAGTCCCACTGCATGTCCATTTCGCAGCTGGCATTGTGGAAATGCATAAGTACACAGAAGTTTCTGCTCAACACACACAAAAACAAAATGAAAATAGAGAAAATTGTAACAAATACAAACCACTCTGTCCAATGTGACCTATAAGTTTTTACTACATGAAAACTTATCTCCCTTACATGTTTCGGTCCTTACGGACCATCTTCAGAGAGAAACATCATTACAAACTGGAAACTACCATCACAGAAGTTGTTTTGATTTAAAATACATACACTTATATGCTACGATGCACAGTATGCACAAAGTGGAATATTTCACAATCACAGCAGCTTCCTGGTATTGTAAAGTTTTTAAAAGTTTCTAGATGTTATTTAAAAACCTGTATTGTCAATAATTAAAATTTATAAACCATGTAGGTTCGTGTCCGTCCTCCTATCAGCCTTCTTGTATGGGGCAGATTTTGTGCCGCCAGTCTATCTTGATGAGGAGTTTCTTGATATCGCCCAGGGTTTGCTCCTGGCTTGCTGTGTTGTGAAAACACATGGTCATGGCATAATCTCATACCATGCTGCAATTTTCATGGAGGGAGTGAGGAAAACCATCAAAAACATCACTAGGGATGGCCAGTCTCTGGGCCAAAACTTGAACCTGGGACCTCCCAAATATGAAGCTGGAGAGCTGCCCACTCAAGCACAACACTCACTGGTGGGGTCTTTGGAAAGTCTACTGGACTCCATAAAAGGAAAAGAATCTGAATAGTTTCTCAAGGACTCTTCTGTGTGATAAAAACACACAACCGTAATTCTATCATCTATACATTAGATAAGAGGCACACAGCAGTGCAGTTGGTTGAGGCACCACGCTACAAGCCAGGTCATTGGTTTGATTCCTGATGAGGTTACTGTATTTTTCAACTGACCTAATCCTTCCAGCCTCACTATGGCCGTGGGGTCAACTCAGTTTCTAACAGAATTGAGTACCAGGATACTCCTGGGGGAGACCAGCGCATAAGGCTGACAACCTCACAGCCACCTGCAAGCCAACTGTCTAGATAATGTGGGACCCTCAACATCTCACAACACTATGGGCCTCCATGTCCTGTTATAGGGATAACTTGTTTACACATTTGATAGTCATTTCAGAAACCTAAATTAGCTAGAAACATCATGCTGTTTCAAAAACTGGTATGTAATGTAATGTAATGCAGTGCCATATGTCACAACCTTCTAACACTCTGATATGCATTTTTTTTTTTTTTTGAGAATTTACTGATTTCAGAGCAGACATTGGCTATGTATGTTATTTCACCCAAATGGAGAGTAATATAAGATTTTATTTACAGGATTACTGTTACAAAGTCTTTTAAATCTTTCCCCTGTTCATCCCAAGCTGTCAATGAGATTCACCAATTGCAGTACCTCAGCAGCACTGCGACAAGGCTCTTTCAACCCAGCCACCATCTCTGCCCAAAGTCTGGTTGTGATTTGTTCATTCAGCCAGCCACCAGCATTGTCATGCGAAATGTTGAACCAAACTTGGCCTGTTCCATTGAGATAGTGTTTGCAGATCTTTCCATTGTAAGGTGCACAGTAGCCAGGTGGGGGCAGCTGTCCTGTCTCACCTGCACACACACACACACACACACACATACATTCAGATGTTAGCAAATACTCAAACTACTGCGATGTGCTCTACAGCAAAATTATTTGTTTCAAAAGGCTAGTGTGGTTGTTGAAATCAATATATATATATTGTAACCTGTTTTTCTACCGTAAACGCCGTTCGGATTGTTAATTGGTTTATTTAACAACCTCCAAGTCTTGGCTACAATTAATTATAACACTGTTACGGGTTTCCACACTTTACAGACCCTACACACTATTCTGTCCACACTGTCCTCAGTAGTCTACACGTATTCACAGTACGATATGGGAGCTATACCAGTGTCACTGTGTCACACATTCCCAATTACTTCTCTTGTGAGCCAAGCATCTGCTTCTCAGGCTATCACTTCTAATCACACGTTCCGGTATTCTTCTTTCCGCTACAACTGAACTCGGCAGCTGTTCCATCTGCACTGTCACTCCCGCTCACACACTACTAACTGTCTGCTGACTCCCTGGCTAACTCGTAACTAACTGTTAAATAGTGTTTGCTGCTCCTTATTTAGCCCCGTTGTGTTTACCGACTGCCTAGGAACAGTTGTTGCATGGACTCCCTGCTGTGTTTACAAAGGCGTTGCGGGCAGCGCTGCTGGGAGTTGTTTACAGCAATGTAGCAACTACGGCGTCCTGTTACATCACTGCAGGGAAAGGGGTGTCTACCGAGCGTTGCACACTGTGTGGGGTATGTGACGTCACTGGCAAGGTCACAGAGTTCACGTGACCCCCACCTCCCGCTACGCCATCCACGTCACAATATATATACATACATACATGAAGGACGCTCCATATATAATGCCTCCTATTTTTTTGTGTTAATCTGTAATGTCTGAGCTGGATGTTGGTGTTGTAGTAAAGGTTGAACCTTCCCGTCAGTGTACTGTTAGTTTGGTTGTCATGCGACAGATAGCAACAGCAGAGCAGTCTACCAAAATGGCGTCTGACATAGAAGTGTGTACGAAACAGAGATGTGTTATTGAATTTCTCACTGCCAAATTGCACCCATTGACATCCATTGATGCTTGCTAAAGGTGTATGGAGACGATACAGTGGATGTCAGCACAGTGAGGCAGTGGGTAGTGCGTTTCAACAGTGGTGAAAGTGAAGTGCATCCCTGCTCAGCTGCCACTCCTTACATTGAACATCGCCTCAATCAGCTCATCCATACAGATCGGCAGATAACGACTAGGGAACTGTGTGCACAGCTTAATATCAGCTGTAATGCATTGGAAACAATGCTGGGGAAGCTGGATTATCGCAAAGTTTGTTCCAGGTGGGTCCCGTGGATACTTACACAGGACCACAAAACTCATTGAATGGAAGTCTGTCAGGACCTGTTGCACCAGTTTTAGGGTGAAGGTGACAAGTTTCTGGACAGCATCATCACTGAAGATGAGCGTGGTGTCACCACTACAAGCCAGAATCAAAAAGACAGTCAACTGAGTGGCAACATCCGGATTCCCCAAGAAAAAAGAAGTTCAAGACACAGCTGTTGGCAGGGAAAGTAATGTGCATGGTCTTTTGGGATAGGCGGGGCGTGATTTTGTTGGATTTCCTGGAGCCTGGTGAGACTGTCAATTGTGAATGCTACAAGATGACACTCACTAAGCTGAAAGCCCGCATTTCCCAAGTCAGGCCAGAGAAGCAGACAACCTTTCGTTTTCAACACAATAACACTAGACCCCATACCAGTTTGGTGACCACCGTGCACTTTGCAAAGTTGGGCTGGACTGTCCTACCACAGCCACTTTATAGCCCCGATTTAGCACCTTCAGACTTCCATCTCTTTGGGCCTATGAAAGATGGACTACGCGGGCAACATTCTCCAGACAACGATGCTGTCATTGCAGATTTAAGAAAGTGGCTTGCCTCTGCTAGCGCAGACTTTTACAAGCACAGCATACAGGCTCTTGTTCATCGCTGGCAAAAGCGCATAATGAATGGTGGTGATTATGTGGAAAAGTAGCTGTAAGTAGCTGAAATCTTGCTCTATTTAACTGCATTATAATGCTTTCTGTATCTGTTATAGTTTTCATTAAAAAAAATAGGAGGCATTATATATGGAATGCTCCTCTTGTATGTGTGTGTGTGTGTGTGTGTGTATATATATATATATATATACAGGGTGTCCCAGGAGGAATGTGCCATACTTCGGGAGGGTGTTCCTTATGTTAAAGTATGCCGATATAACCCAAAACACCTATGTCCAAAGTTGAATGGTTAGAGATAATGGCCCAAGAAAAGTGTGGTCTTCTGGCGGGTCCACGCACTGTACCTGTCAGCTGACCGGTCTTATCTATGTTTGTCCTTGAGTGTGGTGATGACGGACCTCTCTAGCTGCATACACTCGCATACCAGAATGCACAGTCAGCCATGTGACATCAGTGCTTGCCATTCATGTGTCATTATAGTGCTTGGAAAGCTAACGACAACTATGATATGGCATGCGAGTTTTTTTGTAGTTCAATTTAATGGCTTCATGTCACTCACAAGTTAGTTTGATGTTACGTACATTATTAACATTACAGAAACCGCATATTCCTGCCAGTTTTAATATGTATTTGGTAATCAACAAGTGTGTAACACCTGTCAAAGTTTCACACTTCTCTGGCCATTATCTTCATAACCGTTCAACTTTGGACATAGGTGTTTTGGGTTATATCAGCATACTTTAACATAGGAACACCCTCCCAAAGTCTGGCACATTCCTCCTGGGACACCCTGTATATAGCAGTCAATATCAAACGAATGCACAGGTTAGTACACATATATATACCCAGACAAAAATGCACAAATCACATCAATGATCATACAATGACACAATTCATATTGGTGATATGCGCACCCAAAACATCACACATTAACAACCTATATATCATTGAAACTTGTCTCTGGAATCCATGACCTGGCTTCACAATGTAGAAAGCTTCTTACAACAAAGATCCACAAATGACATAATATGCCCAATACTACACTGTAACATTGGAACCTTAGAATTAACTTGGCATACATATTCTTAATCTATCATACATAATAGTTTTAATATATTTCATTTAAATCAGAGAAGATAAGATTGAAGATGACAGTAAAACATGCTGGCTTAACACAGAACAACCCATCTCTGAAAAAATTTAATCATGTGTCTCAGAACACAGTACATTATAAAAAAAAACACAATCTTATGACAATTTCATTTGGTTCACCTCAGTGTTCCTTAACCTTTATGAGCCATGTGCTGCAATATCAGATGTGCCAGGTACAGGCAGCTGAACACTGCAGTCTTCTAATACTAATACTATTACCCAAATTAAAATAATACCACCAGCCCTGGAGGACCTGGAGATTTGAAATCCCACACTCCCAAAATGATAAAGGTTAATAATAATTAAAGAAAAATATATTTACAGACCTTCCAAAGCTCACAGTATTTTTTTGAGCTGACCTGTTGTTACATTCCTCACCTGTCTGAGCCAATAAATGCTTTGTTACTGTTGTGCTCCAGAGTAGGTACCACAGGATCAGAACCATGTCTGACCGCCAACACGTACACACACTTCACTCTCATTGCATGTTTAACTGACAGACCTCTGCTACGACCAGCTTCACAAATAGAACACAGTTAACGAATGTCATATCCAGCACCTGAAATAACTAAATTAGAACCGCTTTGTTAATGCATAACCAAGGGTTCTGAAAGCAGAATCTTCTAAACACAAAACTGTTCACATAACCCATACCTAAGGAACAAAACTGCATGGCAATGCTGCCAAGCTGATGGGCAAAATACTTTGCATTTTAATCACCTCATTTTTATGAACATACTTCTTCCAGCACGAGGAATCTGAAAAGATGATTTCTGTTTTAAAATATTACATCTATAAAGGATTATGGGTCAGAAACTAGCCTACATTGAGCTTTCTTTTTGTGCATTATTTAATGATGCTTTCAGTACTGAGGGGGGCACACAGTAGCGTTGTTGGTTGAGGCACTATGTTACAAGCTGAAAGATCGCGGGTTCAAATCCTGATGATGTCCCTGGATTTTTTCAATTGACCTAATCCTTCCAGCTGCACTATGGCCCTGTGGTCAACTCAGCCTGTAACAGAAATGAGTACCAAGAATGTTCCTGGAGGCTAAAGGGCAGCCAGGAGGTAAGGCTGACAACCTTACCACTATCTCTGAGCCGTTTGAAAAATGGGGGAGCCTCAATGTCTCACAACCCTATGGACATTCATGGCCTGTTACAGGGATAATTTTTCCATTTTTTTTGGTACTGAGAATAGTTGCCCAAAGTAGGATAAGTGATGAATGATAAATTGGAAAAAATCTGGAAAGAACTGGCTGTGGCCTTAACAAAATACCATGCTGGCATGTCTGGAGGGAGAGAGGAAAACCATGAAATCTTCAGCCACAATATTCCAGCGTACTGGCCAAAATTTAAACCAAGCACCTCCCAAATACAGGTCCACAGCATTAACTCTAGAGCTGCTAGTTCAGTATCATGAGCTTACAGCCAAAAGTCCACAGTCATAATGATTAGCCAATAATAATCTTACAATTCACACCAACTAAAACTGGAAACCAATAAATATTTAAATATCAATAAAACAATCCAAAACATAAGTCATTCCTGTTTTTATTACCACTTTCGATAAGGTAAAACAAGTAATTACCTGCTACACACATAGGACATATTAAAATTCTTTGAAAACGCTTAGAGGGCACAGAATTGACTCCTTCACTAATTAAAAACATACGCTCTTACACAGTACACGTTATCCTCCCTCATACTATACTGTATTATCACATCACAAGACATCATTATCCATATCACCGAATATAAGAAATATATATTGTTTCATAAATATAACAATACCGCTGTCATACTCATACAGTAACATTACACAACAAAACATGGCATGGATCACTAAATATAGTACCACACTGACGACACTGACCGTTGGATGCCTCTGCGATTTGAGCATACAGCGTTAAGTTTAGGGTTACTTGAATAGGATGTGACACTACTGTTCGTCATGTGCCCCCGTTTAAATTTGCATTTTCTACCGGCAGTAGTCTACCAACACCAGATGGCACAGCTTTATCTTGACGTGCTGTTCTTGGCTGTATCTTATGAAAATTGAAATGGACTCTTGCGTATAACATAAAAATGTTCTAACATGGGGGTCCATTGGGAATGCAGCAGGAGACATCCCTAAGTTTAGAGCGATTCAAAGACGGCTATCGAGAACTCCCGAAATGGGGTAGCTTTCCAGACGTTCCAGACTTTGTATTCGGCCAACGTGTGGAGGAGTTAATTAGGAAGCTGTCTAATGAAAGCCTCGAAAATGTGGGAAATTTCAGTTCTATTATCGTATTTTGATGAAATTCCGACAGTTGATTCAAGCAGGAGGCGAAGCATTGTATATGAGTTCAACAAATACGTTAATTTTCTTTGGAATTAACGGGAACATCGCCAGAGGATCTTCCTCGTCCCAAGGCAGTGGATGGAATCTATTGCTGAATCTACTTTTAAAAATGTGGAAGAAACTGAGTTTAAATCTTAATGAAACATGTCACTGTTATTAACTAAACAACATCGTTATCCGGTATTATTCTCTCAAGACTAACTTTATATGTAGAGGAAATTATTGGGGATCAATAGTGTAGATTTCTACGCAATGGATCAGATACTGTTTAAACATTTTGAATAATCAAATGATAGATTACAGATGCTAATACGATGAGACAATACGTAATCAAACCATACACTGGACGAAGCCCATGTATAAGTTGGAGGGAAGCACGGTACAACGTCTCATTAAATCTGATAACATTAGTTAGTCTAATTAAAATAAGTTTAAATAAGATACACAGTAAAATCGATATAGGTTACTACCACTCTTAAGGTCTCTGGATCGGAATCCTGACATGAGATTCCAAATAAGCTACCTCGACCCCTCCACAAACCCCCAAAATGTTCAGTACAGGACGCATAATACAACATAGGAAGGTAAACTCCCATTCAGTGACTTTTCGGCTGTTTTGGAAGAACAGAAAATAATTAGTAATCCAGTCTCTTAAAAACAAATTTTTAAACTTCAGCTAGTTAACGTCTATACTCGACTCTTTGCGAGGCATTCACTAGAATTAGATGTGCCACTTCCCCAGGTAGTAAACATGCATAGTCAGAGTTCAGTGTCTGATACTTTTTTACAAGCGCAAGTGAGTTCTACAGGCTACATATCTACGTACGCACACGTGCAAGTCATTCCGGTATAGAAAGTTACTTCACCACACAATTGTTCTAACAATGACATTTGACAGACTCGATTTTCAAGTTCAGTTTAAATTCTGTTAAATATACTGTGATCGGCCAGCTTACGAATTATATTCCAATTCCAATCATATGGTTTGTTTGAATAATCCCAGTGCTAGATACATTTTTATTTTTTTCGAAGAATTTTTAATTATGCCACTGAAGATAGAAAACCATGAAGGTGTGAAGGTGAGGTGGGTGTAAGGTAAGCAATTATTGGATACATTTCCTATTCCAAATATTAAATAAGGAGATGCGATGTCATCGTTGCTTTTCAAGTTTGTTTTGAAAAAAAATGTGTTTGAAAAGAAGAAAACAGAGAGAGCAAAGTATGTGTTTATATCGCGTCAGTATGATGCAGGGTAACATCATAAAATAATATAAAGATTGCTAATAAATACTTCGAAAATTGGCAAAGTTAAAATACTTTGACACGATCTTCATATTATGCAACTTGTGTATGTGATATTAAAGTGCTTTTACCGTCACACAACAACGTGCGTTTGACTACTGTATAATGAAATGATTGAACTCAAGTGAAAACAACAGTTCCCTTTTCTTTGATCATCATTGAGATATATTGGGTTTTCGGACTTTAACCATCGTCCTGTTTCTTTTCGCCAATGGCGAAACAGGCAGACCTCTGGCCTTGCGGCTCCGGGAACATAGGCATAACCTCAAAGAAGGTCTTCTAGAAAAATCTAAACTGGCTCAATATTCCTATGAAGAGAGACATAGAGTAGTTTGGGATGAAGGTAAGATTTTGGATATTGAAAGCCACACCAGTTATAGGAAATACAAGGAAGCGGCCCATATGGCATGCTCGACCAACCCAATTAGCCAACCCAGTTTGGACTTTTCTCCCATTTGGATCCCCATTATGAGCAATGAAGTCACCAATTCACATAGAAGATCTGTATGACGTGATATATGTTTTTTATTGATTTCTATTAGGTTCTAAATTAGATAGACGTGATTTACTCCTTTGTTGACGCTAGTTAGACACTATTGGTTTTTTACTAGTTCTCCTTTCTATTCCATTCCGGGAGGCCATGGACCTGGTTATTAGTTTGGTTTCGTGACATAAATTTCTACGGATCTATCTATCCTGGTCCCATGCTGTACGTGTTTGGAACAATTTGTTATGTATATATTTCTTAGTAGCTCTCATTGACTTAGCCTGGTTTCAGGTATTTATAACCTTTGTGTTTTGTAACGTTGGTTGTCCAGTGATTGAGACTAGCTCTTTCTAAGGCTTCTAAGGGATCCAACAGAATAGGTGTTTTACCTCACCTGAGGACGGAAACACATCTAGTTTCCGAAACGTTGTGTTTTTTCTTAGTTATCTTAAAAACTAGAACGATGGATAGAGTCCCAAAACCTAATATCCCTGTGTCATAATGATGTTTTTGTTCTGTTCAGAAGCAGTTCGTTCTTATCGGCCAATTCTGTGACATTGTTGAAGGCTGTCTGGAGGCTTTATACTGATTTTGCTACGAGCACCATGTCTTCCGCGTATGCGTAAAACTTGACAGTTTTCTTATTCAGTATTACATTTGTAATGTCCGCAGTGGCTATTATAAACAGCAGCGGGCTGAGGGGGTCTCCTTCGAGTACCCCGTTCGTCTGCTGTAAAGGTTGTGATTTGGCTATAGTGTCGTCAATTTGGATGGAATTTTTTCCCAGTATATTTCTGAGATGTTTTGTGGTGTAGTTCTTGCCAATTCTCTCCTCCAGCTTCTCGATGAGCATGATTCTGTTGATAAGGTCAAACGCTTTTGTATAATCTATAAAAATTGCATGCAGTTTGCTTCTTTGGTGTCTTAGCGCCTCTTCGATGTCTCTTTTCGGACAGCTTGCTGCTTGCCGAGTCGATCTTCCTCTTCGGAAACCGAATTGTTCATCTGGTAGTGTGTTCTCAGTCATCATGTAAAGTCTATTCGTTAGGATGGACGACAGGAGCTTGAAAGCAATGCATTCCAGTGCTATTCCCCTACATGCTATTGTGTCACTGACTTCGCCTTTTCCTTCGTATAGGACTTTCACAGTGGCTAGCCGCCAAGCGGCCGGTATCTTCCCCTGTTTCAGGCACTCGTTGAACAGATTAGTCCACACTCCTTCCAGATTTTGGGTGGTATCTTTCAAATGCTCGTTGTATATTTGGTCTGGGCCGCACGCCTTTTCCACTTCTTCTATTGTAAGGAGTTCCTGATTTATATCTGGGCAGGGTTCCAGGTCTGTTTCATTTGGTCGTGCTTCTCTCGCCTGTAGGACTCCTTTGAAGTGCGTTTCCCACTTCTGCATCGGGCTGTCTCTTGGGAAGTGTGGCTGTCTTGGAGTGAGAGCTTTGTATGGTTGTTGTTCTGCTTCTTCTATTAGTTGAATTTCCTTTTTTGTTTGGAAAGCGTATTTTGCTTTCCTTATTATGCATTTATACTGCTTTCGTGCTTTTAAATATTGCCGTAAATGTGTCTCAGATTGGTTTTTAAGGGCCGCATGTAGTACAACAAATGCTGTTCTTCTTGCTCTATAGCAGTCTCTATTAAACCATTTTTTGCCCTTCGAGAGTGAAGAGTATTCCGTACTATTGCAGATTTTATGGTGTCTAGGAGGATGGTTTGTGCTTCGTCAATGTTACCTTCCTCGATTGCGTCTGTCACTATGCAACTGTCTTTCTGGTTTAGGGGTTCGGGTCTGTTTTCCTTATTCGTTTTCTTATCTCCGGTTCGGACTTTGTGAGCTTGTTTTGGACGTATATTTTAGTGTCGACGGGCAGATGTTTTCTCGCAACTATGTTGGACAGGACCCTTTGTGATATTGGGGTCCTATTACTGGAGACTAAATAGATTGTGCTGCTTCCTCTGAAACCAACGTATGTCTCTTGTGTCTTTTCGTTGGTTACAATGAGGCCCTCTCTTGCAATAACTTCTGTAACAATATTTGATTTATGATCCGTTGTGTTATTCTACAGTTAAAATCGCCCGCCATTGGTATTGGCTCTCTGTTTGAAATCGTACTTAGGGTATCCATTACTTCAGCAATAATCTTCTTTCCCCCGAAATCTGGCTGAAAATAAGCGTCTATTAATGTGCATAGTTTTGTTTTTATTGTCATGATGGTGTATGTTCTTTATAATATATTGAATGTCGATAGCCTGGGTTTCATGAGACTTCTGATTCCGCCTTTTGGTCTTCCTTTTTCTCCCTTCTTCGCGAAGGAGTGTACTGCATAGAAGTTACTGGTGCTCTCAGGGGTGGCCCGCGTATAGGCACTGTGGAACTGCAGCATCCCCAATTTCCACTTGATATTATCGATAACATTTATATAATGAGTCCTCTTTTCTTTAATTCTTTCTTTATACTTGTACAATACAATATATAATCCTTAAGCTTGATGTCAGTAGCCAAATCTTTCTATGGAACTGTGCGTTTCACAGTTCCAGCGGCGAGGTGTTTGTTGACTGTGCGCATGCGCACGTAGGAAGCTACTCGCGAGGCTGCAAGGGAGAGTGCAGTGCCGACCGGTGCCGACCCTGGCGTTCTCTGCTGATGGAAAGTAGTTTTTTTTTACTCCGCCTCTGTTGTGCTTAAAAACCGTGTACCATATTCTTGAATATGAGTTAATTGTAGAATTAGATTA